ATACAAAAACAAGTTGCAAATAGCTGATTGATTAACTTGCAAAATCAGATTATCAGTAGTCAGAGGTCAAAGGTAGACCACCAAAGAATCTGTTAATATGGAGTTTGATTTATTCTCCTGTCATCTCTACCTCTACAGCCAACACAAAGCCTTAGAATGAGAAGGGCAAGAAGTCTTTAAAGCCATACATATCTCTCTAAATGCAGTTAATTGGGACTGCTGTTCTTTGTTTCTGTTTTATTAGTGTTTCCTCCTTCAGTTTTGTCCTTTGATTTATTAAAACAAGCACAATTCATTTTTCAGATCAGTTTTTAAATCTAATCATACTTCTTTAAACCCACTGGGATTTCTTTATCAGACTTCTGAATGATATTTTTAAATCAAATTCATAATAATTTAAATAAGGTTTTATGTAGTCACTTTCATTGATTTGCACCAATAATGATGCTGGTGGCATGCACACTGCCCAAGTAGGGTCTAGTGGACAATACATTGCAAAAAGTCAATCCCTGGATAAGACAAAAGGAGATACTTCTTGGCATTGCCATGTAGAATATGATTTTTTTTCCTGTCCTAATTTAAGTACCTCAATCAAAATTCCATTGAAGACTTTTTTCTTTGCCTAGCTATGGAGGTCACGAATAGGTTAAATGTGCTTGTCTGGCTTTGTTCCATGTCTCTCTTTCTGCCTGTGCTTTCACAGACTCATCTAGAAAAAAAAAGAAACAGTATAAACCCCTTTGGTCTTCACTGCCATCAGAAGTTACTTAAAATCAAAGTTTGCAAGAAGATATGATTCTGTGACCTTTCATTTAAGGGACATTACATATTTTTATGTGGGAAGAAAAAAAGCATCTTTTAAGGGATTTTTTTTTTCTACTCTGTTGCTAAACTTGTCTGAACAAGTCAGGGCAAGCTGTAGTGAGTATTCAGATGTGCTGAGGATTTGGGGATTTTTTTTGAAAAATGTTCCTTTATTATCACTTTGTGGTAACAAGCTTTTTAATACGTTTTCTGAAGGCTTCTAAAATGTCTCCCACAAAACCACAGCCTACTAGGGCAAACCTGACTGCCTGTCAGACACTGTGCTTTGGACCAGCAATGTTTTAACTTGATACCTGTTTCTGCTTAGCTTATTTGGAACTGTGCAAAGCCTAACCGCCCTGCCTGGTCTATAATTCGGGGGTGGCAAATCTCTGGAAAGGTCCGGATAGTAAATTCTTTAAGATTTGTGGATCACATAGGCTCTCCCTTGCATCGTGTTCATTTTATGTGTTATTCAACGTCCTCAAAAGAAAATCTTTTCAAAATGTAAAAATGTCACTCTTTGTTCATGGGCCACCCAAAAACAGGTCATGGATCTTAGAAGGCCAGGTTTAAAATCACAGTCGTTAGACACAGATACACAGCCCCAAAGTGAGTGGAGGATGGCAGTGAGCATTTGCTTCATACACAGCCAACAAAGGACTCCCTGGCTAAAGCCTAACAAATACAAACTTAGACCATGCCTCATTTGCTTCTTCTTCATTTTGTACATTTATTTTTCATGACAACTTGATTTTTGTTTTCATTTTCAAGGATAAAGAGAAAGGCTAAAAAGGAAAGAGGGAACCAGGAGGAAGGATGGGGGGAAAGAAATGAATGAGGAAATATGAAAAAAAGAGAGAGAAAGAAAAACCTTGGAAGTGAAAGAAAAGAATGGAAAAAGCAAGAGGGAAGGAAAAAAAGAAAGGGAGGCAGCAAGTGGTAGAGAGAGGGAGAAGAGAGAGAGAAAAGAGAGGAAAACAGAGAGTGAGCCAGAAAGTGAGAGTAAGTGCTCACAGTCTCTCCCTAGTCTACAGGCAGCTCTTAGGGGCACCTCCCCAGCTGCTTTCAAATACTGAGCTTGCTGCCCAGCCACTGATCACCATCCCAAGAAAGTGAAATGTGGGCTTCACATCTGAAAACTTCCACTTGCTTTTTCACCAAGTGAAATGGAACACAGAATTCAAGGCCCAAGCAAATGACTTGTGTTTTCTTTGGGACACTTAGGCTATTTCTACCCAGGGAAAATTTTGATGTACTGTCTAAGTCCAGTACATATGATTAATGTATATATAGGGCAAACCAGGATAATTCCGGTTTTTTTTTCTTCCACAGCAGGTTTTCAGCCCGAATTATCTGGATCCTTGCCTCAACTCTCCACTAGGCTTTGCCAGGATAAGCACAGCCAGTGTAGTATGCAGGAGACGGGGACCACTCCCTCTCTCCAAGGTTCTCTTCAACACCCACACCCTGTGCAGCTGAGCAGACTGGGAACTGTCCTAATAAATTTGTTCTGGGGACAAAAGTTTCTAAGATGCCTCTAAATCCATAAATATTGAATTCTGCTTAGATGGAAAATGGTAAAATACATAATAGATATGTGAACTGGGACATCGATACTAATGGGAAAATATTTTACACTCCTCTTTTCCCCATCCCAGAAAGTTACTAGGAAAACTGAAGTCCAAGATAGCTCAATTAAATTAATTGCTGCTTGACTTGCAATTTCTCATTATACAGAAAAAAATTGCCCAAACACTTAAGACCCCTTTCTCAGAAATGACAGAGAATCCAACATGGTATCTTTATGGCTTCTGGTGTCCCCCTTTTCTTTTTTCCTGAAAACTGCTGTTTCCTCTTGAGATGACAGACATATTGTAGAGTTCAGTCCCTACCTTCTTAGAGTGCCTGACCCAATCCTAACTCCTTTCTCTAAGCATCTTTTTATTCCTGCTCTAAATATTCACATTTTGGTTAATTCTTTAAAAATTCACACAGTGAGATTTGATCACATTCACCGTCCTCACTCAACTCGCCTGAAAAATTTGTTTTTAAAGATACCTTTAGAATATAGCCTAACATAAAATAGTGTTTGTCTTGAAGATACACTTACCATGACTATTGAAAAGGTTTGTACCCTAATTTTTAAAATTTCAAAGTGTAGTCTACAATTTGAAGAGACAAGAATGGTGCTGAAAATAAATCTTGAGAAATTATTAGTAGCAGAAATTCTGTGAAAATACAATGAACTCACTACCCACCTGATAAAAGTGAAGTATAACCGCATGTATTCTTGCACCAGTACCATGATTCTGGGTGTGGGATTTGTTCTGTTTTCTTTTTAGCTTTGGAGAAAAGGTGAGACGCATCATGGGAAAGATGCATGATAGTTTATTTTACTGTATCTTACAGATCCAACTTCTAATGATGAAGCTTCCCACATAACTTCTTTCCTTTTGGGAGCAGAAAGGAAGGAAGAAAAGGAAGAGGCAGAGCTGTTGATACATTGGGATAGGATCTTTCCACTCTATTGAAACTTTCTGCCTTTCCTTCCATGTTGTTTCACCAGTTCTCTCAGTGAAGAACCTCCCCGCTGCTATGTGTGTAGTGTTTCTGTAGATTGCAATGCCAACTCTTCCCTCTGCGTACAAAATCTATAAAGGAAAGCATTTAAAATTATTGAAAGGTTGCATTCTAACTCAGTGACTAGCCTCCTACTCGAAAATATTGTCAAATGTAACTACTGCATGAGAATATTCTGAAGCATATTTTTAAAAACACTTTTAGCAAGAAATTGTTAAATGGAAAACTCCATGTATCTCTTTTAAATGTTTATTTTGTTGCTGCTCCTGTTGTTTGTGAGTGGAGGTGTGTAGAAATATTTATTATTGTTTTGGACAGTTTTCATGCTGCCAGTGGTTTTAAAAAATTGATACTGGAAAAAGAAGATTATCTGTAAAGTGTGCATCTATAAACCAAGTTTCTCTTTTCAAATGGCTTGTCCCGAGCTGTTTGATGTCCCCACCACCACCACCAATATGTGATGAATGTGATTGCTCAAAAGCAGTCCATAACGTGGGACAGATTTGTTGTGGCAAAGGTCGCTATGCTTCCGTAAGCACTGCTTTTGCTAGAGGGCACTGTACATTAGACAGGGCCTTTTGCTCTGCTTGGTAAAGACTGCTTTCTGGCGCAGCACCTGTGTCCAAGTCTCTGTTAAACACGCATATATGGGCTCCCGTTTATAGCAGATGGGACTGTGCGAAGTGAGACCGCAAAAGGATTAATGCATGGAATAAACAATCTTAGAGGCAATTTGAGTATTTTTTTCTACCAGGAAGAAAGCCATAACATATTCAACACGTTTTCAAAATTGCAACACCAAAGTTTATTCATAAGTATCTGGCCTCCTTTCCTCTTTGCCAGTCATTCTATTCCATTACTATCCTCATCTCTAACTCCATCCTTCATTGTTTGTCTTTGAACCAAAAAGCAATAGATGGTTCCTATTTAATTCATGAACACACATCACTTCCCTATCCGTTAGTTTGAAGGACAATATCGAGGACCTAATCTTGCAAATGGCAGAGCATCTTCTGAAAAATAAGGTGATTGTGATGCTGGAAGAGATTCTCCGCTATCTCTATCTCACAATCTCTCATGTTGATAGCACACACACATAACTTCTGTAATATTTTAGCAGTTGAAATAGGACTCATGTGGACCAGTATTATTTGTTAGTTAAAAGTTGTAAATATAAAACACAGAAAAGAAGGAGGAATGTATACCAAACTCAAAAGTAAAATAACCATTTATTAAAATACTTCTGTTTAGTTTTCATCAGCTGGTTGATTTCTTGTTTACTAAACTAACTAGTCTGTAAGTTTGTTTTGAGTTAAGTGATTAAATAAACAAAAAGTATTGAAAGACAGATAAACTCTGAAGAAGTCAAAGTTTGTATGGGTCATCAGTACATCACTATTATTACTTACAGAAGTAATAATAAGGCAAAGAAAATAATGATTTAATCAGTTCATAATTTCTTAATTGTTGCAGACATGGGCTTTCTGAACATGCAATACAAAAGAGAAAATGCAATGGACGTTAGTGAAAGACTGGATCTAGAATGCAGACCTAATGCTTTAAAGACTGGCAATGTCTTTGTTTTACTCTTTCTCTCTTTCTATGATTTATAGCATACATTGAAGATCTCACAAGATGCATTGAGCAAAGCCGAAGACTTATTATCGTGTTAACGCCAGACTATATTCTCCGACGAGGATGGAGTATTTTCGAAGTGGAAAGCAGACTCCACAACATGCTAGTCAGTGGAGAAATCAAAGTGATTTTGATTGAGTGTACAGAATTAAAAGGAAAGGTGAATTGCCAGGAAGTGGAATCACTAAAGCACAGCATCAAACTTCTATCACTGATCAAGTGGAAGGGACCCAAAAGCAGCAAATTAAATTCTAAGTTCTGGAAGCACTTAGTGTATGAAATGCCCATCAAGAAAAAAGAAATGCTGTCCCATTGCCATGTGCTAGACTCTGCAGAACAGGGGCTTTTTGGAGAACTTCAGCCTATACCTTCAATTTCCATGACAAGTACCTCAGCCACAATGGTGCCATCGCAAGCTGATCTCCCTGATTTCCACCATTCGGATTCAATGCAAATGAGGCACTGTTGCAGAGGGTACAAACACGAGATGCCAACCAACACCCTGCCAGTACCTTCCTTAGGCAACCATACTTACTGTAATCTGCCACTGACACTACTCAATGGACAGATACCCCTTAATAATTCCCTGAAAGAGACTGAGGAATTTACAAGGAACAATTCCCTACTACCATTATCATCCAAAGAGCTTAGCTTCACCAGTGATATTTGGTAGTGAGAAAAGCAATCTCAGAACCTCTGAACAACTATATGAGAATATGGAATTTGTGCTGCGCTGTTCTGAGCATAAAGGGCACCTAAGAGCATCGAGATGCTGAAAATGTGAAGAAAAAGGCACAAAAATCGTGTTTATACTGAACTATTTTTGTTTACATTTATAGAATAGTGGGGGAATAGAAGGTCTTGATTTTGTAGTGCAACACCTTGTCCCAATGTACAGTTTTATTTTTTCCTGAAAAGAAAAAATTGAATTGTGTCCTTTTCAAGTAGGTTCTATGGCACCACATGAACTGCCCATGTTTAGGAGTTCAGCATTTAAACATAATTTTCAAAAAAAAAAAAGGAAATCCTAGAGACTCAGTGAATTTGAAAATTGTAAATGAATGTTTAAGGGAAAGGAGAACTTTTATTGAATAACTGAAAACAGTTGGGAATTACAAAGGAAAAAATATTGATGCAGCCAATTGGAAGACTGTTTATTCAGGAAGATCAGTTGAGAAAATAGTATGATTGAAACATTTACATCTTCTTCAACTTAATGGACAACTCCTGTAGACTAAACCAACAGCCTGTAATAACAGCTTTCAGTTCTATTAGACAAGCACATCAACTGTAGCCAAACTGGTAGGTAGGTAAACTACGGGCATTCCTGAAGCAAATGAATGCTCAGCTCTAAGCTCTCTAAAGATAATTTTTAGTAAGCCTTTCTGGATCATTAAAAATAACATTTTTACAACATCTAAAATGTACCATAAAGTACACCTTTTCTTGTTTCCGAAAAACATTTGCATTTAAATGTTTTCCCTCCAACACTCTTGTGATCTTCTCTAAGATTTCTGTGAAGATGTGGGCAGTGCCCTACTTGTTTTTCAGCCTCATTGCAAGTCAAACTTAAACATATATTGACCACAAATGTCTGCAGTTGAAAAGAAGCAACAACACTGTTCAGAAATGAAGTGCTAAGTGATTCACGTTTACTACTAATAGAGCAGCCACTGCAGACGTTTTCATCTCAACACAGTTGTGAAATGGACTATTCTGTACATACAATGAATCTTTTCGGCTATATGTACAAAGCTCCCACAGAAGTGTCTGTATTCCAGGTGCTTCAGAGAATATATTTGATAGAGTAAACTTGCCTGCACTCATGCAGTAACTGTGACTATACCATAACAGAACATCTTTTCCAATAGCCTGTTTACTAATGGCTGTAAGAAATGTACCCCTACTCTAGTATTTCTTGAGGATTATGTCTTTCCAGCACTTACAATTAATTTGTTGTGCTCTCCAACTTGATACCTGTGGGAGTCAACTTCTTAACTGCATATCAAAGTTGATTCAGAAACTTTGCAAATGGTTCTTAACAGAAAATTCTTGGACAATTATAAACAAGGACAATATACACAATGTGTAAAAATTAAGACTTTGTCTACCCTTTGTGATTGTGAGACCCCCCAAAGTAGATACAAATATGAGAAAACATGCTTTGACCTGTCTCTAATCTCTTTCCATGGTTGGTTCCCGTAATTCGTCTGTTCCGTGAAAATACCTGGTTCCCTGTTGCTTTCCTATATCTAACTGGTCAGAAAATACATTGTGCACCAGACTGTGTGAAAGTTTCACAGTGATACACATGCACTTCACAGCAAGACAATTAGCTTCTCCTTTGAAGAGGCCTGTTCAATGTATGTAGGCGTTTCATAGATGTATTTTTTCCCACCAAGAATGGAAACTTCTCTAAAAACCATAGGTGTTTCAAAATGAAAATGTACCAATTCCCAAGTGTTTTTCCTGTGTTACAAAGTTGTATTTACTCTGGGTGTTCCTTAATGCTACGTGTAATGACTAAATTAATAATGTGCATGAAATGAGTGCTATATGTTCTAAGTGGACAATTGTACTTTTTAACTGTTTTATTTTTCACAGAAATCTAGATTAATTCAAATAGAATGTCCAGTCATATTTTTAAACTAATAGTTCTGTATTGAGCATGCCAGTTCTGAAAATATAACATGGGCCTCTCTGCTTCCTTTATTTACAATGATTAAACGTGGGTAGCAATTTGAGTTGGCTGGCCACAATGTGTCCTTTCACTGCTTGGAGGTGCGCAGAAACCCAGCATTCACACTTGTGCTGCAGACCTTGACAAGAAACCTTTTCTACCACTTTCAGGAACTAATGTGTATACTATCTATAAAAATTTATTTCTAGGTGGCAATTCAAAATTGAATTTTCATCTGAGACTTTTTTTAAGAAAAGATATAGCCCATGGAATATAATAAGTATTTAGTCGAGAACACAATATATACTTCCAATTATTTTTATGATGAGGCTTTTCCCCCTTTTACAACTTTTCACTGAATTTTGGAAATCTAGGAACCATGGTTACAACTAGCTCTTACACACTCATAACAAATTTATTTTTATGTTACTGTATGTAAAAATACATTTCCAAACTGAATTTTAAAGGTGAAATGTTCTGAAAACCAAAATGAAAAATACAAAGTTCAAAAAGAATGATAATATGTACAAATCAAAACATTCCATTGAGAATTAACAATACTCACGGATATGAACAACATGTTCATCCATTTTACTTAGCAAAATATGACTTCTGGGCAGGTTTGATACCTATGGTCCCCAATCAAACCAGAGAAATAACAACGTAACTGTGTGTTTTCTGAAAAGTTATATCACCCCTGCCTCTAAACCTTAATTGAATTAGAGCCAAAACTGTCCTACTTCTAAGAATTCATTCAGAGCTATGACATAGAGTTGCCATCAAACTTCCAGTGAAGTTTGAATCCAGTGTACCTCCCTGCAAAAGGAAGATGTTTTGCTTGTGGATGGAAGGTTAATATTGTGCAGCTGAAAGTTCTTAGAGGGCTACAGTGAGAGGTGAAAGCAGTTCGGTTGTGAAGACACATTTGTAGGACCTCAATGTGAGCTGAGATGACAATGAATAGTAATCAAATGATTGCAATGTAATCAATTAGAAAACTGTAAGCAAAAACAAGAAGACTCTGACAAGTAGAGGAAGGAAAATCTTTGACAACTGTATTTTTTGTAATAAGGCCTACAAGAGTATAGAATCACTGGTCGAAAGCCTTTGCTGTCTTTTGGCATTTTATTTTTAAATAAACTAATAAAGAGAAAATGGCTTCACTTTGGGGGTTGGGGAGGTATTTATTCTGAAAGTATGATGACCTGAGTTCAAATCCCCAGCACCTATGCAAAAACCTGAACATGGATGCAAGACACACCCATCATTGGAGGGTAGAGAGATGAAGATTCTGTGACCTAACTGGTCTTGTAGCGGAGCTGGAAGGTAAGTTTTGGTCCAATAAGTGACCCTGTCTCAAGGCAGGAAATTGGAAAAGTTGGAAAAGACACTAAACATCCTGTTCTTTCATGTACACTTGCAAGTTCATATTCATATATAAGAGAGAGAGAGAGAGAGAGAGAGAGAGAGAGAGAACAAACTATTCACTTTTACAATGTGTTTTCCAAAAATAATAATAATAAATGACCAAAGAAAATATCCTGAAATTGCACGTATAAATCTTCATAGTTCTTGTCTTCATTTCCCAAGGTGAGGTAATGAACTGATACTAAAGCTAAGATGGAAAGTTGTCCTATACTGATCAACTAAATATGAACACTGAATCATTGTTACTCTTTTTTTGGGAGTGAAGTTAATGTTGAAAATTGTCTGGCTCCAGTTCCTCTATTACTCATGCATTTTTATTGTGAGATGCCTGATACATGGTCAGAGTTTTGAATATTAAGGCTCTCTGATAAACATATGAAGCAGTTTGATAAGCTTAATCATTCACTTTAAACTCTTCCATATCAAAGTTGCCTTTAAAAGTAACTGAAATCAGCCCAGAGAAATTTAAGAAGAATATTTATCAGTCCATTTAATTACCATGTAAACAGAACTTGTAAAATTATGTACAACCACCTACGTTTGTTTTTCTACATGCTCACTGCTATTTTCTCAACTATATTTTTTCCAGATGGTGTTAAAGTCAATCATTAAATTTCTTGACTGCCTGTTGTATACTGGCCAGCGCACAAAATATACTAGGAAATTTTAAGTCACAATCCTTGTTCTCAAATAGTTTATACATCACATTCATGAAGAAAGCAGTGTTTGTAATACAGTTTCAGAGTAGAAAAATTAATATTTTTCATGTGCAGTAATAAGTGAGATGGGGATTCTGTATAGACTTGGACAAGAGATAAGTGTCGGATAGCAAAAACAGTGGTGAAAATGGAAATTTCTCCAATACAGACCATAACACATGTGAATACGGAAGGAAGCGTAACAAAACTCTCTTCAGGTGATAGCAAGAGCAGAGGTCTGAGTAAGACTGGGAGGAATGTTAAAGCATTCATCGAAGAGCAAGCAGACTTAGGGAGAATTAGGAAGGGAAAGGGAATGGAGGCTGGGAAGCCAGCTATGAGACTATTCTCACAGTCCAGTTGAAACGAGAGCTGGAGATAAGAGGTGACCTTAAACCTCAGCAAAGAGCAGACAGAGACGAAGAAGAAGTAGACAGGATATAGTGATGCAGAAAGTAGAAATGAAAAAAAGTAAACAGTTCAATAATCAAAAACACTAGTTGGGTCAAAGGAATTTTGTGAGCATTTAACCCATACTTTAAACTGAACACTCTAACACTGCCAGGGCAAAGAGATAGAAAGCAAAGTGCTAGGGGCAACTGGTACTGAAATGCCCTGGGAAGCATTTGGAAGAGATAAATTCTCTGAAATGGCAAAATGCTTCTTTAAATCGGGTTTAGAAGCAAGTATATTTGCTCCACTTGTAATTCCAAATTCCCGAGGAAGAAAAAGATGGGTTTTTTTTTTTGTTCTCAAGTACCACTGTCTGGTTCTATTTAAATTCCACATCTCATTTTGAAATAAAGAATTATGACCTTGAAATGAAAGAATTGAAATGATTAAGTCGAGACAAACAAGATGGCTCAGTGTGTAAAACCGCTTGCTGCCAAGCCTGACTACCTGAGTTAGATCCCCAGGACCCACATGGTAGAAGTGGAAGCCCAACTCCCACACAACTTCCATTCCTCCACATTTGCACTTACACACATGTGGAGAGAGGTGAAGGGAGGGAGAGAGAATTTAAATGTCAAATACCAAAAGAAAAAGAAAAGAAAAGAAAAAAAGAAAAAAGAAGTGAGGTTTTAAAGATCAGTAGTCTTATCTCATTCCTGGCTAGAGTCCCAGTACCCATACAGGGCTCATCACAAGGTGTCGATCACATCACATTCGTTGGTTAAATGGGAAAAGAAAGTCAGGAGCTTCTGTGAAGTCCATCACATAAGACACATGTTATCTTTCATTTGCTTTTTATAGTAAGAAACTTTGCAATTTAACAAGAGAGGAAATGTATGAGATTATCTCTCTA